AAAAAATTATTATTATTATTTGCACGATGGATGACATGCAAAAAAAAAAAAAAAAAATTTTATGAGGAGCCAACACGTGGCACGTGGTGTTCCCAAGCGGTCACCCATTCAAGTACTAACCACGCCCGATGCTGCTTAACTTTGGTTATCGGACGATGATTACTCTATGATTTTTTTTTTTTAATTTGAGTACGTTCAGAAATTTCGCAAAATAAAAAAAAGGAAAAGTTTAACCGGAAATACAAAAATAATAATAAAATTTTAATTTTATTTATTTTAAACGTTGGAAAAATAATTTAAAGGATAAAAAAAATTTTTTTTTTTTTTTTTAAGTTTCCACCGCCGCCGACATTAATGAGGTTTCATTTTTATTTCTCTCTCTCTCTCTCTCTTTTCAACAGCATTATATTTTCTTTGTCTTCCCGTTTTTTTTTCTTCCTTTTATTAAAAGGGCTTATAAAGAATTTGGATAATCCTTCTTCCACTGTTTCAGCGATAAAAAAAAAAAAAAGCAGAAGAAAAATAATTTTTATTTTAAAATTTTATCTTCCTCTACCACTACCACTACTACTACTACTACTTATTTTCATCGTGGAATTTTCTCATTCTTTTAAATTGAGGTTTCCTTTTTTTTCCTGTCTCTCTCTCTTTTTTTTCATTACCAATTTAAGTATCTATCTCTTTCATCATGTTTTCCTCTTTTTATTATTATTATTATTTTTGTTATCTCGCTTTCACAATTCTAATAAATTATTCAAATAAAAGATTGAGAGTTAAAAACAGCGTATCGCATTTGAAAAAAAAGGTGACAGCCTGGAACTTTGAATATCGTTTTCGGGTTATGATTTTATCTTTTTGTTTTTTTAAATATTTTCCAGGGCGTCCTGTTGTTTATCCGCCCGAATCAAGTCTGATTATTAATTCTGGGCAACAAGTCGATTTTCATGTTGAGTATTGTGCCAATCCGCCCACAACAAGAGCCTTTTGGGTAACCGAAACTCAAAGACTGGTTCCTGGACAAATTAAAGGCAGCATCATTGCGAAAAATATAACGGTAAAATAAAAAAAACTGTCGTAAATGATAATGATAATAATAATAATAATAACGTTTGTTTTTTTTTTTTTTTTTTTACAGCCAGCTTCGTCTATTCACTGCCACGATGCCGTATTAACGATAAAAAATGCCAAAACATCCGATTCGGGGGAATACATGTTTTTAGTGAAATCACCCTTAGGCATGTCACAGGGAGCCTTATTTTTAAACGTGACTCCAAAAACCGGAAGTTCCGGATGTTTAAATTTTTTTCCCGCAACGGCATTCATTATAATTGCACTCGTTATAAATGTTTTTTATGTTTATTAGATATGTAATTGTTTATATTTATATACATATATATTTATTTATTTATTAATTTACGTTTTGTAAATGTACATAAATTTTTATGTATACATAAGTATAGATATATAAATATTTATCTACATAATATATATTTTTAATATTTTCGTTTAATTTTTTTTTTTTTTTTAAACTTGTTGTCGTCATCGTTTCGTTCCATTTTTTTTTTTTTTAATGATAAATCGGTTAATTATTTTTTTGTTGACGTTTGACGTCATTGATAAGAAAAAAAAACACAGAATTATGTTTACGACGGAAGGAAATTGTTTAATTATTAAAAACATAATAATAATAATAATAAAAGGAAAGAAAAATTAATTTAATTAATAAAATGACGGTAATAAGAGTTTTGGTGTCGACCTCACCTGTGCGGGTGTGTGCGTTTTGTTTTAAATTTTTGGATTTCTCTTTGGCTCTCACACCCCTACTCCTTACTCCCTTACCCCCCCAACCCCCCAACCCAAGGTAAAACGCTTTCGTTTTACCTTATTTAATTTTGAAAAATTAATTATAAAAGCGTGCCAAAGTAATTTTATACTCTTCTAAAAGAATTTTAAATTATATCCTTTCGCATATATGTATTTTTTGCTGTTGTTGTTGTTTGTTGTTGTTGTTGTTTTGCTGCCGCCGAATTGAACTTAAACAAATTAAACGTGACCACATTTTAAATATAATAATAATGATAATGATAGTAATAAAAAAAAAAAAAAAACAATTTATTTCAACTCAGGTAAAATGCATGTGGATTTTTGAAAGGAGAAAAAAAAAGGTTTAAAGTTTTTGAAATTTCGTTAAAAAATTGAAACGTTAAATAAAAAAAAATTAAATATTTTTGTGATTTGACTACGTAATTGCCGTTAAAAAAAGGTGTTTGGGGGGAGAACGGGATTTTGGGGGAGGGGCGAGAGAAAAAAAAAGGATAATTTCAAAATGAAAATCAACATTAGCAGCGATGGGAAAATTTTTTTGAATGGCGATTAACTTTTTATAATTTTTTATTTAAATTATTTTTAACTTTAATAAATTGAGGAGGAGGAGGAGGAGGAGGGGGAAAAAGGTTTCTTTCCTTTTCTTTGACCCCCCTTCCTTTTTATTTCGACCGCTGAAAATTTTTTTATAATTAAAAATAAACCAACGAAGCGCGCCTAAAATATAAATTTTTTTTTTTTTTGATCTTTTGACCTTTTTTTTTTGACAAATCTCCCCGTTAAAAAAAAAATTGTTTCAGGTACGTTTTTTCAAACCTTTCCACTCTCTCTCTCTCTCTCTTTAATAATTTTTCCTATACAATTTTTTATTAAAAATTGGTATTTTAACTTTTTAAAACTGGTAAATAATTTTCCTGTAGGTGATATCTATCTTATTATCTGCAATAATAAATTTCTTTTTAGTGCCAAATAGATGAAAATACTACATCTTCTTTTCATTTTCAAAATCCTTTTCTTCTTTTTCTTGTCCATTATTTTAATTCTCTCTCTATCTTTCTCTCTCACTCTCTTTCCTTTTCATTTTTCCCTTTTTCATAGTAGTTGTTAGTTAATAAATAGATAGACAAAAAATAAAATAAAAATAAAAAGAACCGCCTTCTCAACGTTTTTCCCTTTTTAACTTATAAAAAAAAAAAAAAACGTGGAAGAAGATATTTACGATCAATTTATTATTATAGATCAACCGGGAAAATTTTTTCTTTTTTTTTTTTTTTTATTATTTTTTCTTCCAGTTGGGATAACAAATCAAAAGAGGATTTTCGTCATCAATATATATATATATATATATATATATATATTTGTAGAAAAAGATTTTTTCTTAAGGATGATTTTGACTTGTTGAAATTGCCGATTTAAACACAATTTTTTTTTTGGGGAAGGGGAAGGAGGAAAATCGGGAGAAAGGAAGGGGGGAGAAGAAAATCCGAAAAGGCAAAATGCCAAATCTCTTATGTTTTTATTTTTAAAAGGTAAAACCACATTTTTTCTTTTCCTTTTGATTTTTGTCAATTATAAAATTTACGCTTTAAATTTTTACAAGGGTGTGAAAATTTTCCCCCTCCCCCTTTCCCTCCTTTTACCCCCACATCCTCTCCCCGTGGAAAAAAAATCACAAAAGTAAGGTAGAAAGAAAGAAAAACGTAAGACAAAGACGGGTTGAAAAAGGTTTTAAAATTTTTTTTTAGTAGCAAAAAAAAAGGAAACGGAAACGGTTTCATAAACTCTACACGTCGGGTCAAAGGTTAAATTTAGTTAACGTATAAATAAAAAAAATTTCTTTTTTTCTTTGTTAAAAAAAAAATATCAAATGACTAAAAAAAAAAAAAAGAATACTCGAAATTTTACGGATTCTTTTCCATTTTTCCCCTGGAAAATTATTTTCATTCTGGAATGAAAATTTTAAATAAAAAAAAAAAAATTCAACCGAGTTTATTTTTAATAAATGGTCAAAAAAAAAAAAAAAAACCAAAATGTTTTAACATTTAAAATTATTATTATTAGTATTATTAAACAAAAATTTATCCGATAACATTTTACGATAGATACAAAATAAAAATGGGGGGGAGGTTAATGACCTTTTATGACCTTTAAAAAAATTTTTTCTTTTTTTTTTTTAATATTTTCATTCGGTTCAATTATTATTTACAAAGTTAAATTTTTTTTTGTTTATTAATTAAAAAAAAAAAAAAAAAAAAAGAATAATCGTGTGAGGAAATGGAGAAATTTTTTTTTTTTTTACTGGAGAAAATTTTTTTATTTAAGAAGAAAAGCGTGCGGATGAGAATGATTGAATGAATGAATGAAAAGGGTTTTTCTTTTTTCGTGCACGAATGTTACTTTTTTTTAAAAGTTTCTTTCCAGATTTTTTCTTTCCACACCTTTTAATTAAATCTCTAATAATTTCATGTTTTTTAAATTTGTTTTCAATTACAACCTTTTTCCCCCTTCATTTCCCCCCCCTCCCCTCCACTCCCCCTTTTTTTATTATAAACATTTTTTATTTAATTTAATTATTTTTCCAGAGCCTTCCCCTCGGCTTCTCCCTTCTCAACCCTTCCCAACCACTCGGTAAAAAACAAAACTTAAATTATACGTTCTTTTTTTAGAATAGTTTTTCCCATTATTATTATTTTTCTAAAAAAAAAAAAAATTGTTTTTTGATGACAGGCTGGAACGAACAACAACAACAACAACAACAACTGGAACTTTATTTTTAAATAAGTGGTTAGAAAAAAACTTTTTTTTTTTATTAACTTTTATTATAAATTTTTTCCTTTTTTTTATATATATATCAAAATTGTTTCGGTCAGTGTAAATTTTATAAAATTTTTCAGGTTTCCAGCAGTGCAAAAAAAACCTCGATAATAATAATAATTATTTAATTTTTAAAAAAAAAGTCGTTATCGAAACTTTAAAATATTTACGTCGATGATATTAAAAAAAAAAAAAAATTTTTTTTTTTATTTAAAAATGTCCGCCGGAAATAAACAAAACGGAAAAGTTTTTTTTTCTCTCTCTCTCTCTCTCTCTTTTTTTTTTTTTTTTTTTAAAAAAATTTCTAATTAAATTTAATAAAGTTTGAATTTCTTAATAACGTGAAAATTTTTTTTCAACATCGTTAAAAATAAATAAATTTTTTTTTCTTTTTGTTTTTTTTTTTAGAAAGAAAAAAAAATCATTTCCACGTTTATTATTATTATTATTATTATTTTTATTATTATTATTATTATTATTATTATTATTTTTATTATTATTATTATTTTTATTATTATTATTATTATTATTATTATTGTTTATTGAAAACGATGAGGAAAAGACGGTGATAAAAAGGAAAACGTATTCATACGAAAAACAAAAGGGAAACGGAAAAGAAAAACAAACGACGACGACGAAAACGACGACGGCACACAAAATCCTTTTTTTTTTTAACCGGAAATGGTGAAAATTGTCAACAAAAAAAAAATTAATAATAATAATAATAATAATGATGATGATGATGATAATTTTTCGGGGAGTTTTTTTTTTTTTAGGGACAACGTCAACGTGAGAAAAAATTCAATCAATCAAAATTCGGAAATGATATTTTTCATTCCCTTTTTTTCTCCCTCGAAGAAAAAGATAAAGAATCGATCGCCATTTTAATTTTTATATTATTATCATTATTATTATTTTAATAACAAAAGGAAAGTGAAAAAAATTAACGACGAACGCGAAAGGAATTTTTTTTTGTCGGTTTTAGGAAAAAAGGCAAAAAGGTATGTAAGAGCGTAGAGATTTTTTTTTTTTTCGAATTTGAATTTTGCACTCAAGGTTTCAATAACGGGAAAAAGAAAATTATGGAAATTTAAAGTAAAAAAAAAAGGAAAGGAAAGAGAGAGAGGGGGATGAAAGAAGAAGGAGGGTTAGAGAATAAAAAGGAAGAGAGAGATAGATAGAAAGGGTAAAATGAAAAAGAGAATGGTGGTAGAAGAAAATGAAGACGAAGAAGAAAATGAAAAAGAAGAAGAAGAAGAAGAGGGGTGGGTTTATAATAAGAGAAGAGAGTCCAAGTCTAGGGAGGGGGGCCAGGGGGTCAGGGGGTCAGGGTATTTGATAGAAAATTCAATTAAGTTCGAAGAGTTCAACTAAAACCGCTTAATTAAGTCGGAAAACAGGAAATTACATTGAAAGGATTTTCTAAATTAAAGTGGGGGTCTCGATTAAACGTCGTCCACTACCTAAAAATATTTTTTCATTCTTTCTTTTTATATATATATAAACGATGATGAGGGAGAAAGAGAGAGAGAGTAATGTTGAGAATAAAAAAAGGATAAATATGGAAAAAGGTTTTCTCTCTCTCTTCTAACCTTTTTTCTATGCAATTAATTCAAAAGGTTTTGAAATTTTAATTTTACCATACATCAATATATATATATAAAAATATTAAAAATTAAAAATAAAATTTTTTATTTTTATCCTTTTCCAGTTTTCCAGTTTTCCAAAAAAAA